AGATAGATAGATGGGAGCAGAGAAGGAAAGAGGACAGAAAATCCCAGGCCCCTTTATCTACCGAGCAAGCCCTTCCCCTAAAGGTTTTCTGGCCAAAGCAGGAAACGCCCCGTGTCCGTCCCACCACCATCCTGCAAACGCATACAGACCGACACGGGACATTCACAGTGCTCTAACTCTCCCCATGAGCTCTGAGGTGAGTCTGCCGTCAGAACGGGCGCTGCTGCTCCGTTGGGCTGCTGCGTGTCCTCCATGGCACTCTGACCCCTTGGAGGGTGCCATGAAAACACCTTCAACAGTCCTCGCTCTGCGGCAACTCAGAGCGGCTCGTCTTGCCTTGTGGATCATATGCGGAAAGGGGCCTCATCTCACAAGGTCCGCCCTGCAGCTCCTCGCTTTCTGCCCTGCCCCACAGGCAACACTTTCACCCACTTTGCGTAAACCGGTCGGCAGGCGCCAGTCCTGGGGGGAGCATCTCGTTCCAGCCACAAAGGCGGGTATGGCGGTCACTGGAACCTCAGTCCCAGCCTGACCCCTTCTATGCAGCATTACGTATTTATAATCTGACAGGGGCACGATCAATGAAAACAAAGTCGTAATGCTCGCTGGTCCAATATATGCTCTGCATGAACACCACACGCCTCGGTAAAGAAGACCCTGATCCGCACAGGATCCCCGTCCCCATGTAACTCTCTCGCCTGCCTGGGCCAGTCTCAGCCTATCTCAACTCCCTATCTCCAGATGTGCTGGGACTACCACACCCATGCTTGTGGGGAATTATGAGGGCTGTACAAGAGCTTAGAATCTCTAATTCAACACAGGAAGGGAAGGGGACCTGGGAGAGAGTGAGGCCCTCTTTGCCCTAAGGCTGAATGACCCCTGGCTGGGGCTACTGAACTCTTGGCTGAGTTTCCAGTGGGGCAGAACATTTTTCTACAATCACTGAGTTTGTACAAACCCCTTTTCTCTGCAAAAGCTTAAACCCTGGATGGCAACAAATAACTTTTGACTAGAGACTACTCAAACTTTTAATCTATGTTTGAATGTTCCTTTTCGATTTTAAATACAGACAGACATAGAACAGGCGCCCACAACACAGGTCTCCTAACTCTGAATTCCCTTTCATGTGCCAATGGTAGCTTAACAAACTCTACCTCCCTGTTTGACTTGGCCAGACCTTTAGGGACCTCACACATCTAAGGGTCCCTCAGATGCTCCAGGAATCACCGAGAGCCTGGGCCTGGGGTTGACCAATGCACCAAATGATTAACAGACAAGGCTGATTTCATTTCCTCAGACAGACGTTCCCCTCTAAGTCTCTTCAAAAGCCTCTGCTTTTTAAATCAGGGCTGAAAAGAGCAGGGCTCCTCTCAAAGAAATATAGTTAATTCCCAAATTGTTCAAACTTTACTAACAAAATACCCAGGAACAAGTCTCTATCTATTTACCACTGTCTCCTAAAAATTCTTCATGGAGAAAGGAAAACAAATTCATGTTTTCCCCCTGGGAGTAAAAAATGCAGTGGAAAAATGTAAGAATAAAAACACAGACATTCTCAGGATCAAAGAGCTCCCACATTCTCTTCCGCCCTTGCAAAGAACTCCCACCTAGAGGGACGATGCCTTGAAGTACCCTTAGCTCTGCTTCCAACTGTGCAACAAGAAAGGAGGCAAATCAGCCCTACATCCAAGTTGGCCACATTTTCCATGGCACGCTCGTGGTGAACACAGAAGCAAACATGCACATCTGCCTCAGAAGGCACAGAGAAGCAAAGTTCTTCCTTGCTGGGCTAACAAGGACTCCAACTGCTAAGGATGACCATCACATCAACCTCTTAACTGGGAGGCGGGAAGCCAAAGCACCCTAAAAAATAACAGTGTGACAATCCTTGCCCAGATGTGAGATTGGCTGTGGAGCTCTTTAGATCTGCTGGTTCTTGAGTGAGCAAGGGTGGAACTGACCTGCTTCACCCTCCTTGACTCCATGCCTCCCAGCTGTTGCCACCTTCTCTGGATGACCTATAGTGCAGGCCTGGGGCATCTTTCTGCTAGGAGGAGTTTGTCAAGCCTAAACCAAGGCAAGACTCTTGTGCAGAAGGTGAAGCTTAAACATTCTCCTTACTGTTCCTCAGCGGCTTCAGAACATCTCTCCTCCCATGTGAGAGAGTAAAAACCCTCATCTCAGTTGGCATCAATGTCATCCGTAGTTCAGCTTGTAGCATGAGAAAATTACAGGAGCAGAGACATTGTCTGAAGACCCCAGAAGCAGCAGCTCTGTGCCTGGAGGTCACCAACCAGGAGCTTCAGCGGGATCACCACCTCCAGACCTTTCTGCACCAGCCAGCCTTGGCCACCTCACATGAAGAATGGGTGTCCCTGAAGGAGGGCCACCTTATTGCTCCTCCCAAGTTGGAAAGAAGGAAGCAGTTCTGTGCAGGATCAGGCTCTCCTCTGAGCTCCTCCTTTGCTCCAGAGTAGGCATCTCAGCAGAGAACCACAGGGCTGAATCTAGTCCCAAAGGTTACATCAAGCCTCCCAGCAGATTCTTCATCTCTCCTGGGTATCAAGTAGCAGCTCAGACATGTTTGCCCAGGTTGAAGAGCTGAAACATAACTTGAGCAAGCAAGCAAGCAGCATTGGCAGAACTTACAACCCAGGAGGCTAAAGAGTGCTTTGCGCATGCAGGAGGCAATTGCTGTTCCATCGAAGACCAGATGGGGATTTCGGTTTCAGGCAATTTCCAAAATATCTTATCCTCCTGCTCTAAGAGATGATGACCAAGGCAAAACAGTGCAACTGACCAACAATTGGGGGACTTTATGAAAAAGTCTAACTCAAGAATGAGACCAACATCTTCTCAACTGCAACACACAGTTGTGTAGGACATTAACTCTATAGTATCCTCCATGAAGCAGATTAAAATTGCTGGACCACAATGTTTTCTCTCTCTGACAATACATAATTTCTGGAGTACAAATTGCTGGCGATGTTTCTCAATAAAAACAAGACAATCATTTGGTGGTGTCTAAGTTTTCATGAGATGAAAAGGCCTGGAGCAGAGAAGGTAGAGGTCAGTTGTAATCAGGGTAGGTTTCATCCAAAAGGAAGCTGCACAGATTGCATTTTGCTTCTTCCATATCCTCTAAATTCCCTATGGTTCAGCCTTTCACTGAGATTAATTCAAGCTGGAATATTCACTAGTAGAAAATACAAACTGCGACTTCTCTCCTTTTGCAGAAATTGAAGGGAAAATATCTTATTTCACACCATAAATAAATGCTGTGTTCCAGAACCTCTATCCCACCTTGGACAGCCAACTTGCTGGCAACTGCAAGGTTGGGGCTTTGTGAAACTCCCTCCGATAGCCTGAGGCCAGACCAGGCAGATCCTCCAGACTCACCTCTTGCCAAGCCTTGAAGCCTTTCTCTTGACTTTCGTGGCCCAGCATCTCTGGGGCATATATGGGAGGCAAAACTGCTCACCCCCTAGAGACAGCCCACCAGTCATCTTGGTGCAGGGTGAATGAGGTTCCCCACCTGGGCCAATATGGGAGGTGAGGTGGTCCATGAAGAGAGAGTTGCTCTTGGCCCACAGCCACTGACTCACTAGATCTGCACTCAAATTTCACTGTCAGACAGCTTCTAGCCTGTTCTTTCACCACCTAACTAAACTAACCCAGGGAATTCACAGAAAGATTGAGGTGATCTTCTTCCACTTGAAAACTCAAATTTCAGCCTTATAATTACCATTTCTTAAAAAAATTGCAGAGATTGTCCTCCCCCTTGTGAGCGCAGAGCCTCAGCTTCCCTCACAGAAAGGGGGCAGAGCCGGAAGTTGCTTTCCGGTCATCTGGGGCAGTTCCCTGCCGTGGTCCACCAGGCTGTTCTGGGTCTCGCTAGCCAGCACCACGGCAGCACTTCCAGGCCGAGAGAAGGATACAGAGGGGACGGGCACCCCAGCAGCAGAGCCAGGGAAGTGGTATAAAGGGTGGAGGGTGTAGCAGCAGGGATTGGTCAACCGAGAGTCCCATGGGAGCGCACTCGGGGCCAGCTGCATAAGCGAGCTGCACAGAAGCCACCCTGAGGATGGAGAGGCCACCACGGGTTCCATCCAGCCTAGGCAAGGTGAGGTCCAGTGTAGCTCAAGCGTCAGGATTTATTGACATGGCCTGAGAAAACAGAAGCCCCTGCAGAAGCAACGGGGTTTTTACTGTGGCAAGGCCTGCCCAGGCTGGCTCCTTGGTCATGCCATGGTGTTAGACAAACCTTCCTCCTCAACAGCCTTGTGTGCACAACCACTAGGAGATTCTCTGAAGGCACCAGATCAGCACAGCCTGAATGCAGGGGAGGATCCATCAGTCTCCCAGATCTACAGAAGCCCCTCCGGAAAAGCAGACTCCACGAGGGTCTAGCCAGTCCCTCTCCTCCTGCTGAAACAATGTGCTTCCTCAAGCGTATACCCTCTCCCAAGCACACAAGGACACTTCAATTCCCCAAATGCAGACTTTCCCAGCTATTCATAGGAAAGGGGACACTCTTACAAGGCCACACGTAAAAATGGTTCTTGTGTTCCTCCTTTAATCTTCCTTCTTTCCACACTTCGCTGCAGGGCCAGGAACTTCCACAAAGCAAAAAAGTCTGTGTTTATTCCTCAAATACTGCAGACACAAAACATTGAGAAATCTGCAAAATGCCACCTCAGGGAGTTTCAGTCCCAGGAGAGTGTGAGAAGGATTAAATGAGAGGGTGGCAAAGATACCCAGCCTGTTTATGTCACCTCTGGCATAAATCCAAGCAATAACAGAGAAAGAATATGATACTGGAGTGCAAGCAGCCACATCTTCTACTGAAAAATCAGCTTCTGGGACTTTTGACACCATCACCAAGAAAGCCAAGTTGTTTATTTGAATGGGGGCAGCCCAGAATTCAAGCATTCAAAAATAAACAGCGGACACCAAGGAGGCAGAGTCAGGACCCAAGGTCTGGGGAGCGGGGGCAGGGGGTGTCCACAAGAGCCTCAGCTTCCAGGTGCAAAGAGCTTGCTTGCATCTTCCTGCCAGGAAGAGAAGGTGGTGGTCCTGCCACCTTGCTCTCCCTGGCAGCCAAGGCAGGAAAAGAGGGCGATGGGGAGGCTGCCTTCCCAGAGCCAGTGGTCTTTGGCAGCGAAAGGAAAAGTGGGGGTGGGGGGCTCTTCAGCAGCACCTGAGGAATGACTGGGAACTGGGCCAAGGAGGACAATCTGATGACCATAATCCCCACACAGTAATCCCCACTCTGAGAACCCCCATTTGAACCCCTGGAAAACCCAGGATATGCTGGAAACCCAGCTGAGCATCGCAGCATCTATGGGATGGAAGGTGCTGAGCCCAGGAATGAAAACGGGCATTTCCAAAATATTGCATAGCAAGAACAGATTGCTGTTTTACAGTATCAAATCAGCAATTAGCATCTTCCCCATTAAACCAAGACTCAGTTAGAAAGAAGATCAAAGGCAACAGGAAGGCCCTGCCTCATGGTAAATGTGGGCCATGGTACATACAACCATTTTCTGAGATTCTGTGACCCTGCCACTTTCTCACTGCAATAAACCTCCCCATGCAGAATCTGTGAGAACCTGGTGTTCTTGACTGAGCTGCGACAAGGAGCTTGACATGTTATGAGTCTTAATTGGGAGGAGGCCATTAGAAAGCCCCCGCCATCCTCCCCTCTCACTTGTCCCAAGTGCGTTTCCATGGAGATGCCCAGCACACTTCCATTATCCCTCCTGGCCAGAATCTGCCCATTTGGACGCCATCACCATATGCGTGGCTTGGATGCATCTGCTCGGTGTGCCACACGCAGCACTGGCTTATCTTAAGCATAACCCTCTGAGCCCTCGGCTGCCTCTTTTCCTTTCAATCACCAAAAACATTCCAGCGTCATTAGCAAATACGGCCGCCTAACTGCTCACTCCCAACTCCAGACCGTCCATGAATAATTTGGGCCATGTCAGTGCTACTTCAGGGGGCCACGCCCTGCTTCCACTGACCTTCGTTCCCTATTGCCCCCTGACAGCAGTGACAAAGGAAGCATCCTCCTCCCTCTCCTCCCTCCCCAAACCTCTGAGCTGAGGAGGGTCATGGGCAAGAAGACTTGTGTCCTGCTCACCGAGGCCGCTGACGGTGTAGGCGAAGTCCCTGGCCTTCAGCAGAATCGGCCCACTTTCTTGCTGGCCTTCTTCCTTGTAGTACAGCTTGTAGCCTTGAATGGCTGCCACGTCTGCAAGCTCTTGCTGCCACCTCACAGTGATTGTTGTGCAGTTCAGAGGCTCCAGACGCAACTCAGGAGACTTTGGTGCTGGGAAAGAATGGATTTGAAAGGCTCAACAGTGTAAGCGAAGAACCCCACACTAGCCCTTTATCTGACTAGTAAAGTAGAGGCTGAGCTGCATGACCACAAAGCCGATTCTTATAGCCTACCAACTTCAGCCAAGGTGTCCTGCCCTGTGGTTTGATAAAGTGGGTGGGAGGCATTGCAATCCTGCCAAAATTAGTCCCAGTTATTTATTATTTATTTGCTGAAATGATATAGCCGCCCATCTCAATCTAGTGACCATGCATAAATACAACAGAACCCATCTCACAGCCCACCACAAAACAAACTGGGCTCCGTAACATCTTGCCCCCAGTGCTCGAGGAGAAAGCTAGGTCACACTGGAACTCTTTGGTAACCTGAGTAACATCATCTTCTCTCATGGCTTCCTGTGGCTTCATTTGCCTTTAGCTTGTCACAAACAAAGCTATTAAGGGAAGAAAAAGGAACCGCAACGTCTCTGGGAGCGGCCCATCTGAAGCACCCTCATGTTTACGGGAAACTGGCTAACATCTGTGACTTTTGAACACAGCTGCTTCCAAACCAACCCTTTACTCTGGTGGAATGTGCACATTTACATGGAACGGCTCTGCTATCCATTTGGTGGAAAAAGGCGGGGCACCTTTGACACTGGTGGCTTTTGGGGTGCGATGGGAAGTCCACAGAGAGGCCTCGCCCCAACCGACTCTTGTGGCAGCAGAAATGCGGACCAAGTAGATGCTGTCAGGCTTCAGCCCCCGGAGCAGGTATTCGTAGGTGGCCCCCGGGAGCTCCAGAACCTGGACGCCGCTCTCTGTGCTGAGGCGGAAGGACAGGCGGAAAGCCACCACCTCCCCTCGCCGGTACTTGGCCGGGATGGGCAGCCAGGAGATGAGGACGTCGGACGGGCTTCTGCTCGTCAGGCTGAGCTCGGGAGCTCTCAGAGGGACTGAGGAGGAGCAGAGACAGAAGAAAGAGTAAGCTTCTCCGCCGGCCTGAAAGGATCCCTTGAACGCTGCAACAGAAACGTTCATCCCACTTGGAAAGTTAACGGCCTGAACATTCTGAGATGGAGACTTTTATGCATTTCGTTCCCTGTGCTATTTCTTGTCACATTTCTACTGTTATTCGTGTTTTAATTCTTTTCATAGGTTTGTACTCCATACTGGAGAGAATCCAGCCCTCCTCAATAAAAGCAGTGGAACTGGGCGGGCACAGGCATTTGCCAAGCCATGTCTTCTGCTGCTCAGACAGAGATTCAAGGAGCCAAGGCTTTCATCAGATGCTCCATGCAGAATAAGCCTATTCCTGTTATCTGCAAGGGTCACAAGCCCCACTGCAGTGGGCACCGCGACCCCTTCGTGCTGCAGGATCGCCGGCTGGGCTCCGGCAACTTGGCAGTTGTAAAACTGCAAACAGCCCCCTTCCTCGCAGAGTCTGACCAAACCCACTGGGGTCCTCCTCTATGGCCCAAACTGCTGCCAGAAGCCCCCCTGCCTCCCACCCTCCAGGTTCTGGGTCTCTCACAGCAGCTTTTTCAGCAAGGGAGCCAAGTACCATCTTCCAGCGTGTGCTGAGTCACATGGTCGGACATCTGGCTCGCCCCCAGGGGCATGTAGGCCACTACGTAGAAGGTGTAGTTGCTGGCAGGGTCCAAGTCATCAATAATATAATGGGTTGTGTCGTTCCCAATGACCACTTGGTATTCTTCATTATTTAAGCCTGGAACGCAAAAAGAACCGACCAATAGCAGCATGAACCTATTATTTTACTTATTTATTTATTGACTTCATTTATATGGCTGTCCATCTCACAAAAAGTGACTCTGGGCGGTGTACACCAAGCCAATAAAACAATACACGTTATGATGGAAGGCTCCCTCCTAAGCCACTAAAACAAATCAGGTTCCTCATGACGCCAAGACAAAACTAAAGAACGAATCTCATCTCTGAGCCTGTCAACAACCCCCTGTGCCAACAGGTGCTGTGATGCTTTCAGTCCGGACCCAGAAACCTAATGGCTGCTGGGATAAGAGGATAAACAGTGGTCGACCTCCCCTTTTGGAAGCTATAAAGCCAAGCTGTTACAAGCGCAAGGCTCGGAGCCAGCCGGCGGATTTGCTGGGTTTGGAAAGGGCCTGAAGGGCCAGGGATCCCTGTCCACGCTCAAGAGGTGACTACTGCATCTGCGAAGCTGGCTAGGGAATCCCTGCCAATTCTAAAAGCTGTCTCCAATCCTGCTTCTCGCTGCAATCTTTCTCCAGATGTGTGGCCAAATCCTGCTTCCCTGTCACCCCCTCACACGTGTGAGGGGGGCCCTTCAGAGGCAGAGGAGCCACGTCTCCTCCCCCTTCCCTCCTCCAGGCTGAGTGCCTGATAAGGGAGCTGCAGCCTCTGAATCAATGCTAGGACCACGCTGGCAACCAGCCCGTGTCTGTATCTGAACAAAGGTGGTTTGGGGCCAGCAGATGACTCCAAGAAGGCACCGAATATGCTTGGGACAAAAGAAAGTGGGAGCAGGAGAGAGAGAGAGACCTAATGTCCTGATGGCTTCAATTGCCAGATTTTGTCTGCAGTCAGGAGGATCCCTTCCCTGGAGGTCCCATTTGGAGACCAAAGTGCTCTGGAACGGCCAAGGAGGTTTTTACTTAAAGCCAAAGGCAGCATTTAGTGCAGGAAGAGTGGGTGAGGCCTGGTCTAGAACAGAACTGAACATCTTTTGCCCCTCAATGATGTTCTGGGGAAAAATGTCCATGGCAGTGGGTACCCAAATGCTGGGATGTTAGGAGGGCTCAGCCTGGGGTCTCTGAAGCAGAAAAGAGCTGTGGACCTTCCTTAGCCCCTGGTTCTTGCCAACTGCTTATCCGCTTTGTAAAAGGTGCACGCACACACGCACACAGAAACCACCCTGTTGAAGTAGCATCGGCGTTTCCTCTTAAGAATGGAAGCAAGGGGCCACCATTCCACCGGTTGATTTTCCCACAGTTTTGAGTTAAGTTGATAGCATTTTAATGAGACAAGATTATCAGCACCTCGCAAGCCTCCAATTAATAGACTGTTAGTTCGGCACGATTTCTGACCTGCAACTCAGGGTTCCTGAAAAGGCTTCTGCATGCAGGGAATGGCTGCGAGGCCTCCTGGGGTAATGCAGAAGGGAAGAGAAAGCCGCTCCACAGCCCTTCATTATTGCAAGGAACCACCAGCAGCCCTACTCTTCCCACCCCAAAACACACCTGTCCTCCCCCACCTCTGAAGATGGAAACATTTTCCAAAGCAGATCCTCTCAACAGACCCCTGTTTCTCCACTCCCACCCATGAGAAAGTGTAACTCCCATGTTGGAGCACTGTTGCCAATGGGGCAAACTATGGTCTCTCGTGAATGTAAAACTATCTGGCTTGTGAGAAGCTCCCCATCCCCCCTTTCGGAAACAGAAAGAGGGAACCTCTCCCCACCTCTCTCCATCAATTAGGAACCCCAAGAGCCCCAACATGGGGCCCAGCTCAAGGCCTCTCCAGCTCAGCCTTCTGCGCCCACAAGGGTCAAGCAGGCAGGGGCTCACTGCCCCCACTCAGCAACTTGTTTCTGCTCCAGCAACTTGTTTCTGCTCCCCCTTTCAGGATATGCCAGAAGCCCACCGTTACTTGCACAAGAACTTATCTTTCCAGCGATTCCTACATCCCCAAATGGGTCTTTTTTCTAGATACAAATATAGCCATTTGCTGGGAGGAATCAATATCAGCTTTTCAGTCCATCATCAGACTAATTTATTTATGTTTCCAAAGATCTGGTATCTTTTAAAAGAATCTTTAATAAATGCCAAAATGTAGAATATGATGAGAGGGAATATTCTGATCAGGTCCCTGAAGGACCTGCTGCTCAAGGCACTGAAGAACCGCACGAGGCCACTCACACACAGCAGCAGCTCCAGTTAGTGCCACCGCCCCAAAGGACCCAGAAGACTCCTGGCCACCATGAAAACGTCATCCATCGATTTATTTTTCCTGGCCTTCCAACAGCCAGAATGCGGAAGCCCTCTTCAGCTGGTCCAAGAGGCTTGCCACAGGCAGCCCACAGAAAGCCTCCTCCACCTACCTTCCGCCTTCATGTAGTGCACCGAGTAGGCAATCACTTTGTCCGAATTATACAGTGGCCTCTCCCAAGCCAGGAGAATAGCAGAACTTGACATTGTTTCTGCATGGACATTGCAAGGTGCACTGGGTCGGTCTTCAGAGAGAACCACTGTCAAGCGTGCCCTGGAAAGGATAGACCCTTGGCTGTTCTCGGCCACACACTGGTAGATGGCATCATCTTCAGGGATGATCTGGTTGATCACCAATTTGCTGGAAAGATGAAGAGGGAAAGCGTTAGACGGGAGCCAAACCAGGCAGGTGAGAAGCAAACAATGGCTCAGACAGGTAAAGCAGGAGGTGAGTCAGTGTGGGCTATCAAGTGCACCTTATAATTCTTGCCCACACAAAGAAGTCCTGGGAGGTGGGTGGGTGAGTACGCCTGTCGGGCTGATAAACGAATGCCATTATTCAAATTCCCACCAAAATCAAGCAGCAGGTCTGTTGTGCACATCTTGAAGACACCCCTACATTGAGGGAAGGGCGCTGTTCCCATTCTCCCAAGAGCAGGCCTAACCCTCACCTGTGCTCCATTTCTGCCCCTCGCCTTGGCAGGACCACCCTTTCTTACCCAAGGACCAAGCTGGAAAGCACCCCCACCTGTTGTACATCTTAATTCTGCCATTGGAATGAATCTTCCAGCCATTCTTCAGCCAGGATATCTTGGGGGTCGGAATGCCTTCTGCCTGGCAGGCAAAACGGGCTGTGCCAGCTCGGGGCCTGGTCAAGCTTTCTGGCCACTCCACAAAAGCAGGGGGCGCTGTAAGAGACAGACAGCATTTGAGCAGGATCTGTTTCTCCTTCTCCCTTTCTAATACAACATCAACCATTATTTTGAACTGCACATCCCTTCTGTACTTGTTTGAGACCCAGGCAAAACATTTCTGACAGGTTTTCCTCCTCTTCCTCTGGAAAGCTTTGCCCACGTAAGCACAAGGAAACCTGTGCAACTTGTCAAAAACAACCCCTTTTACCACAAGGTTTGATTTGAAAGTTCCACCCCCAACCCCAAACCCAAGCTGGCGAGCACCTCTCCTGGATCTCCCTGGGTCTCTTCTCTTTCCCCTTCGGCAGAAGAGATTCTGGGGCCTCGTGCAAGCAGTGGGATCAAGCCCCCGCCCAGAGAAAACTCCCCCCACCCACTGCTCCTCACCTAGCACCACAAGTGTTGCCATCGCAGTGGTGAAGTTGCGTGTGCCGGGGATTGTAGCGCGGCAAACATACACACCAGAATGTTGCACCTTCACGTCTGAGATCATGAGGTTCCCATTTCCAAGCACCCGCGTGTTGAAAACATCAATGGACTTGAGGTCTGTTTGGGAGGAACATTTCAACCGTCTGCCTCGGTTTGTGTCAGTTCACATCCCGGGCTGCCTAGCCCGCCACAGAATCTCTGAAGCCGAAGCTGCCTCCCACAGCCCCAGGCGTTTGTATGAATGCCTCCTTTTCTGGTCTGGTGCTAGAGAAGTCCCCAGAGTGCCAAGTTTCCTTTTTTGGCAGACTTCTGCAGAAATGCCAAAAACGGTAGCAAAGGCTCTGATCCACAGCCCTTGCCTCTTCCCAGCTAACACTGCCCAGCTGTGGCAAGCCAGCTACTTCCACTTCTGATGCTGTGCAGGACACACAAGGCTTGCACAACCAGCTGATTCTGTGATGCCGAAATGCATTTAGCAGGCAACAGGCAGTTTTTAATCCCCTCTACTCAATGGACTCTTTTCAGCTAGCTTGGGTGGCGGGGAGCTTCTGCCACGTGATTTGGCAAGGGACGCTGAGATGCTCACTAGCTGGAAAAAGCTGATGATGTCTACCACCTGCCCAGAAATGACTGCCCTCTCCCACTCAATCCTTCCTTTCCAACTTTGGGGGCACCACCTGAGAACTTCAAGGAGTCAGTTAACCCTTTCGTGTGCCAACTTGTGGCAGCAACCATGAGCATGGCACACTCAAAGGGGGCATTTCCACTTACTATCCCTCATCCGACCTGCAAGCTCTGGCACCTTTCATTTCCCCGAAGCTGGAAGCCAAAAGGCCACCTGTGGGCATTCTACAACTCACCAAGACGACTCCAGGACACAATCGGTTTTGGATTCCCGATGGCAACGCATTCAAAGATGACCGTTTGATGAAGAGAAGCTGTAATATTTTGGGGCCCAGCTATAATGGACGGCTTATGGAAAAGCTTCATATTGGAAGCTATTGAAAAACAAAGTTTAAGAAGCATTAAATAGAAATGTGTTGTCCACACATCAAATGTGCACAATTTAAACCTCAGAAATGAAATTATGGAGGGAAGCACTTGGGTGAAGACCTTCTTCCCACGTGGTGCACCAGGACACTTGACCATCACTGTTTGCCGGCAGCAATGTCAAAAAAGTTGCAAGTAGTAGGATTTTCTAGATACCTGGGACAACAGTGAGCGTCGCCTCGCCACTCTTCCGCCGGCCAGCAACTGTTGTAGCAACACAACGGTAACTCCCCGCATCTTTTTGCTGAACACTATAGATCTGTAGCACTCCTGATGGCAGCGTAGTTATCCTGGAAGAATGAGGGTTGGGGGCGATAGGGAAGAAAGCACATCTGTACTTCCAGTGGGTCTGCCTTTCTCTGCCTGGTGCCCTCCAAGTCAGCTGGACTGCCTTTGGTCAGAGCCAGGAGCTACAGTCCTACAACACCTGGAGCATTCCAGGCTGGGGAAGGCTGCAAGATGGGATCACTATTCAGGAAGGCAGAGTCACGTCCCCAAGCATGCGCAAAAGCACCTCCGCATTTTCTAGTCTAATTTGAACTCAAAGTACCAGCCTTGAATGTCACCCTTTCCTCTGTTCTCTCGAAATCAAAATAGGTGATGTTTGTCTGAAGCTCACAACTGCATCTTGTGAGTGGTGCTGTCAAGCTCTTGCACTCCAGAAGGATTTGAGAGTCACTACAATACCGAAGATGGGTGCCGGACTCAGGCCTAAAGAGAGCCAAACTTGCCCCCTTCTCAGCCACACTCCCTCCTTGCCTCCCCTCCTAGGGTTACTGCACAGGTTGAAAGGGAGACACTCCCACATCCTGCCCTCTGATACTTAGAGGTTCCTAGGAGAAAACCCCAAAGCCCTACCTGTCCGTGTCCTTTAGCAGAGCTGTCCGATTTGCCTCCCAGGTGATAATGGCTGGAGGGTTAGCGGGGATTTTGCAGGCAAATCTAGCCACGCTCCCTTCGTGGACCTCAGTGGGAAGAGGCTGGACTTCAAATGCAGAGACAGCTGCAAGGAGGGAGAAGAGGAAAGGCTGAGCCCCGGTGGGGAAGAGGGGACCCAGGGTCCGTTGAAGGGGAGAAAGAAGCACGCTTCAGTGAATTTAAGAAAGCCCAGCCACATGACGTATCCGTTAAAGGCTGCAGCTCCAGGGATGATGAAATTCCCCACCAAGGATCTTCCATTCCTAGGGGGCCCCCTGGGAATCAGCTGCTCACTGGGGCCCCTGGGTGGAAGGCCAGCTGCCTGTTCCGAGGGTCCCGCCCTGCCCTGCCCTGCCCAACTCAGAGCCTCATCAGCACTGCTGAGCTTCCACCCATAAGCTCCAATGCTGTCGCTAAGAGGGCGCCTTATCAGCAAGGTCCTCCCAAGCGCCCAGGGGCAACCACCTCCAGGTCAGTTTAGCAGGCTGGTACGGCCAGTGGCGGGCTAGGGTTGGGGTTAGGGTTAGGGTCTGCTTGCACCCAGAGCCCCGGAGTCTCTCTCCAACACAATGTTTTTCCCTTCTTTGCTCGATATCCAACTTGTTCCTCATCTTTGTAAAGAAATGCACCAACGCTCCAATGAAGAAACAGGGCTGCAGTGCCAGTCAGCCACACGGAGCCCCCGGTGCCCCCCCCCCCCCACTTCCTTTTGAACTGGAAAGGAGAGCAGGGCCGCAGGAAGGAATCCCAGCACAGCCCTGGGTCCGGCCTGGCCACTCTCCTTCCTCCTTCCTGCACCCGAGAGTCTGCCTGAGAGCAACGGCCATCAGTCTCTCCTGGAACACCAGCATGGCGCGCAGCCGTGGTTCCCCCCTGCAGGGAGAGACTCAATGCGCTTTCTCTGGAGCCTGCGCGCTCCCCGGCTCATTCTGAAATAAAACAGGAGCCGTCGCCTCAGCCCAGTCCCTTGTGGGCAGCTTCCAGGAGAAACAGGCCAACCACGGGGCCGCCCCAGGCCGGGCAGCCCGTGGATGGGAGCAGGCCAGAAGGGGCTCCCCAGGGCTGCTCTTAGCACCCTTCGCCTTTCCTTAAAAGTAACTGTTTAATGCAGTATGCAATGTTATGCAGATGCAGAACAGAGGAAGGCTAACCTTAGATAACTGCTTTGAATTTTAAGAACTCAAATAATGTTTGACACTTAAGAAATGATGCCCCCACTTTCATCGGTCAGGGGAGAGTCAACACAGGCCATCAAAGCCCATCATGCCCCTCTTCCAAGGTCTGCCCCCCACAGCTTTTGAAACTTCTGGGCTCTCCTCTGGTTGTGGGTCAGGTCAGGACCTCGCATGCATTAGAGACAAGGGCAAGCGCTGCCACCCCCTCCACGGGACCCACCTCCCTGTCTCCCCTCCACCACCCCACAGACAGAGAAAACTGGCCCTTTAAGCATGCGCAGCCAGCATTAGTCTCCTTTGGGGGTACCAGGCGGGCTCCACAAAGAACAGCTCCTAGGACATGGCAAAGGGGTTGTCTTCGCCCCCAGGATTCCCCCCTCCCCATCCAGCAGTCAAGGGGTCCCTGGTCGCCCTCGGTGCTCCTGGCGCTCCAGAAGGTGTCAGTGGAATGGGGCTTGCACAGCACCTCTACCACACCTCTCTCTCTCACACACACATGCAACTTGTGTGTGCGCACACACATGGGACCGGCCTCCTGAGAGGGAGGCAGCTTGCAACCATCACGCGCGAATGGAGGTGGCAGCACGGCCGAAAGGAAGAGCATCCTTGGGAAGGAACTGGAGCCCGTCCCTGAGGGGTCACCCGCAGACCTGCTCGCTGCAGCAGAGTTGCCCAAGTGTGAATCGGGGGTGTTGTGAAACACGATCAAAGCATGGAGGACTGGTTTTTCAGCATTGTTTCCCTCTGAGAGGTGAAGAGGCATAAATCAGTCTTGCTGGAAAGACAGGGACACAAAGCTTTCATCGATAAATAGGAAGAGGCATTCCAGATGCAATAATGAGGGAGGGTCCAAGCCATCTGTCTCTCCCGCCAGGCCCTATTCATCACCTCTGCCCAGATAAATCTCAGCAGGCCCTCCTCAGTGAGCGTTTGCGGGTCTGCTCCACGCGGGTCTCATGGCTGCGGGAGGGCTGACCCACGAGGAGCAGAGCTAGCTCTGGGGCGGCCTGGAGCCCTGCCATAGGTCAGCGGCCCCTTGGGAGAAGAGAGAAAGGCAAGGAATCCAGCTGTTCTGAGGGATGCCAGTGGAGGCGGGCGAGGGTTCCTTGGCACAGACCGTTCCACCCAGAGCCCTCACCTGGGAACCTCCAAGGTGGCATCTGGCCACCTTTCCCATCTCCTGCTTCTTCACAAGAGGGGGGCTCCCTCAGATACAGCCACAGCGAACACCCAGATTGTAGCCGAGACTTATGAAGAAAAGATGATTAAGCAAACTAACTCTCTGTCTGCGCAACAGCACAGCAGCCACAGATGTCTTCTCCTCTTCTTCTTTTTCAATGAGCCTGTTTTCTTTTCACCAAAAGAAAGAGAGCCTCCAGGAGGCAGGACGCGTGACTAACCGAACTTATGGAACTTGCTGTCCCCGGATGGCGTAACAGACCCTGGTGTGAAGGTCCGCCAGAGGCAGTGCAGAGGGCCTGGCCCTCCCAATGGGGTCTGGTGGACGCAGGAAACGGGGCAGGGCAGGCTGGACCCAAGGCGCATCGCACACAGGCACATGGCCCGCGTATGTCTTGCTCTCAGGCCACAAAGGCATCGCTGTTCCAGGGGAGCTGCATTGCAAACACTTGCCCCATCAGCCTTCGACTGCAGTGTGTAAAATGAGGGAGGGGATTCTGAGCCCCCGAATCTCATGTGACCCCACACAAAGGGAACGCCGGCCACCAAGGGGAAGTGCCGGAGATCCTCTGGTCAAGCCTGAAAGGAGAATCCAACGCCGCCCACAGGCCAGGCAGAGCGGGCCTGCTGACCGACAGGGGGGTCGGCCCCACTGGGGCCTTGTTCCTGCTCAGCAGAGGGAGCAAAGCACCCACACACACACACACATCATGCCCCTGGCTTCTTCCACACATCATGCCCCTGGCTTTTGCCAGGAGAGGCAGACAGGCCTGTGCCCCACAGAATCCCTGGATTCACAGATCGGCTGACCAGCGTCCCTCGCCCAACCCCTCGGATAAAGCATTCGGCCCCCTCGGCCAGATAAAGCATTCGGCCCCCTCGGCCATGGGGCCCTTGTCAGCAGAGCAAGGAGCGGAGATCTGTTGGGCTGGAGGGAGGGGGCAGACTACCTCTGTTGAAGGACCTGCACACGCACACGCGCCAGCCCTTGAAACCTGCACTAGCTTCTGACCACACCACGGCCTGGAGCACCGTGGAAGGGAAGGGAAGGGAAGGGAAGGGAAGGGAAGGGAAGGGAAGGGAAGGGAAGGGAAGGGAAGGGAAGGACGCGTCCTTGAAGCGCGGGGCTGGCGTGGGAGCCACGGAAGTGTCCCTTCTCTTTCTGAAAAGGCTGCGGCTCGGGGCGACTAGGCCAGCAAGGCAAGATGTGCAGAGGGGCCTGGGAGAGGGGCAGCAACTCTGCAGGGCTGGTCTTCACGCAAGTGAAAGAGAAAGCAGAGGCGGCTGCTGGGAAGCGGCTGCTGGGGCCCCTCGGACAGGAAGAGTCGTCCTGCTGAAACTGGAGCTGTCCACCTCTTTGTAGGCCTGGAGAAAAAGAGGCCCACCCTAAATCTTCTTTGACGGCAGGCTGAGCTGGGCAGGGGCCCCGGCGACCCCAGCGCAATCCAGCCCCCAGCCCCCCTCTCTCGAGATGAATGGCCTTCCTGGGCAATGCCTCTTCCTCCCCCCAAGCTCTCCACAAAAGAATGCGAATCTGGACACCAGAGGGAACCAAGGGTCAGCTGCCCCTCCCCGGCCAAGGCGGGACCCCAGAGTTTCTTGCCACTGGCTGGAGCAGGAGTGGCTGCCCAGCCCTTCAAAGGACGGCCAGGGGTTCCAGAGGTCAGCCGGGAGCCCTGGCAACGCTCTCCCCGGCCCACAGGAACGCCTGGCGCACTCACATCAGGGTGGGTTCTGTGAGGCCAGGCAGCTTTTGTCTCTTGCAACCAGACCAGCGGGGGGGGGGGGGGGGGGTTT